CGCTTGAAACGTAGAGGATTTCTATTAAATTTCTGATAAGTGATTATTTAACCTCTGTTTAAAAACCTGGTGATGAACTGAGTAACTTCCAAGGAAATCAATTCTATTTTTGCATAGTTCTTCAGCTGAAATGTGCCTCCCCATTATATCAAATTTATATTTCCTCCAAAAAATATGGCATCCAGAACTGGCCATAATGTTTTAGATATAGTATTATCAGAGCACTTGCATAGTGAAATTTTCCCATCCCTCATTTTGGACACTTCTATGAATGCTTCCTCATTGGCTTCACAAACATTAAAGAACCATACAACTGTAAGTTCTTCTTATTTGCCCCACTGACATCTAGTTATATTATGTCTGTGAAACTTCCCTGATCTAGCTGTTTAGCAATGCTGTAAAAAAAATGTGGTTTATTTGGCGTGATTGGTTCTTGATGAAACCAAGCTGGCTTATAGTGATTACTGCTTCCCTTTCTAAGTGCTGATAAACTATCCCTTCAATTGTCTACTCAGATGTTACCTTAGTAATTATAATGCCTAATGTCTTATAGTTTTCATATTAATTATATCTGAGATGGTTTCAAAGATTACCTTTGTCCAACTGAAAGGAGATCTCTAGTACGTTCTGTCCTTGGCCTTGTATTGTTAAACGTTTTTTATCAATGACAAATGTAGAAATTTCACAAAACCATTTATAACCTAAAGCTTAATTCCATTTGTGAAATATATTTCCCTATTCCCAGGTCCTGGTCAGATGCACCATCTTAGCTTGAAAACTCTTGTATTCACATCAGTTCTTTGTTCATTTACATCTGCTCAGAAATGCTATTTCTAATGACATTGGCATTTTTTGAGCTCAAATCTTCTTTCTCTGAACAGTCCTGGCAAAACCTCAAAGACAATAATATCTTCTTATCAAACTTTATCACTAAACTTATCAGCCTATTCTTTACTGTGCTCAAATTCTAGGGCAGAAGTATTTACATTTTATTAGAACAAGGCATGGCTTATGCGCTAACGTTTCCTGATTCTCTGCATCAGTAATGTCAAACTCAAATAGAAATGAGATGCCACTAACCTGGATATAAGGATTCCTGTGGACCATATATTGACTTAGTTTGAAAATGTACTATTTCTTGCATTTCTTGTGTTTTTATTTATTTTGTTAAACATCTCCCAATTCCACATCAACTCAGTTCAAGTCATACTTGGGGGTGTTGTAGGTCTTATGTAGCCCTCAGCTATGTGTCTGACACCTCTGCTCTACATTCTGCATATGAATGAATGCAAATAAAACTGCAGTGGTGGAGAAAGTGCATAATCACTGAGACAATGGATACATGGAAGCATTGATAAATACAAGACTAACAGTCTTGAGAAGGACCCTGTGGACCCCAAGTTGTTCAGATTTGTTCTCTAGTAAGACCTGAAGTTTCTAAAGCATTTTACAAAGTGCTTCACCTTCATCATCTTATTGGATCCCTGTGATAGCCCTGGGAGATAGAGAAGATGTGCTTATGTACTTCCTCTGGGAAAACTTAGGCTTAAATAAGTTCACAGACATGTCCATGGCCAACCAGCCAGTCAGCAGAAGGGTCTGGACTACAATTCACATCTTCGAACTTCTCTGCCATTTTCTCTTTCTACTATCTTCTATTGCCTCCCCAGGCAATAGGACTGGTTGTTCTAAAGAATTATGTGACAAAATCCAGACATTTTTAAAGCTATTCCCTGTAGTAAGATAAGACCAGACAAGGAGGTGGTCATAGCATGGTGCAGTGAAAACAGCAACAACAACAGATTTAGAGTCAGAGGAGCTGGATTCATATCTCAGGCTCTATAATTCCGACCTGGGTAATACTGAACAATTTCCTTACCTATAAAACGAAGCAGTTGAGCTCATCTCTAAGAGCCCCTTCCAGCTCTAATTTAGTGATCATCTAGGAAGATTACTGTACATCTTTAACATGGATTTAATAAGCTTTCATTTAAGTAATGGAAATCTAGTAATCCTAGATTAATAGAAACATTTTCAAAGATGATTGGAATTTAAATCAAAAGGCAGATAGTGATTTGGAGGTCCCAATATTGCATTTTATCTTATAAAGCAAAGACATTGAATTGAGAGCCATCAATACTGAGTTCCAGTGCCTGTTATGCTACTGACCAGATAGGTGACTCTGGGAAAGTCATTTCATCTGTTTAGCCCACAGTTCCTTCATCTGTGATTAGTGAGCTCAAAGTACCATTTCTGGCTAAATAGTGTATCATCCCATGATCATAACATGTAGGAAAACACGCAAATTAGTGTATGAGATTTTAGGGGAAAAAAAGAAATGTGATAGGAAAAGGGAGACAACTGGGGAGGGGTATAGTTGAAACATAGATTTAAAAAAAAAGGCCCCAGGGGCAGTTAGGTGGCACAGTGGATAGAGCACCGGCCCTGAATGAAGTCAGGAGGACCTGAGTTCAAATCCAGCCTCAGACCAAACACTTGACACTTACTAGCTGTGTGACCCTGGGCAAGTCACTTAACCCCAATTGCCTAAAAATAAAATAAAAATAAAAAAGGCCCAAAGATTTATCTGTGGTTTAAAGCCTCTAGTGTTTATTATGGTTTTTATTTTCCTCTATGATACTTTTGAGAACTCATGTCTGGTTCCCTTGAGGTGCTCTGAGATTTATTTAAACTCTTGGGGGTCAAAGGACAATAGATATTTCTGTTCTTAGTCATGGTTACAGTAGGTGGAAAATGGTGAGGAGAAATAAATCTCCCACATACCATGACCTTTCCTTTGTAAGAATTTCTCCAGCTTTCTGTAAAGAGCTAAAAGGACCAATTGGCAAGTGTGAAACATCTCTGTTACTTGGAAATACCTCACTTCGCAATACCCTTGGCAGCACTTCTCTTCAAAAGTATGAAGGACTAGAAATTGTATGCTCTGAATCCCAGTTTGGGATTCTTCAAAAAAAAAAATGAACATAAATGGAAAAGTTCAACTGCCTTGTCATTAGAGCTGCCATTCTTTCACTTTGTCTCACCTGGAACAGCCAGCCATCTATGTCACCTGACTTTCAAAGATCATAACTGTGCAAGTTCCTTGGGTGAGTTAATTTATTCATCCTTGGAACTCTGTGCCCTGGGGTTGAGCTGTCCTGAATGGTGAGTGAGTGTTAATTCCCTCACCCCTCTGTATCTCACTGGCCTAGCCCATGCATTTCATCCTTTTCAGGAAATCTGGGGTCTACTTTGACATTTTTCCATCAACTCCACCCCTCTGATGGGAGGTAAGGGTCAGTGTAGATGTATTGGAGTCATTTTTAACAATTGGTAATTGAAAGGAGGGTGAGATGTATGACACATTTTTCCAGCTTCTTATTGGTTGATTACATACACCTTGGGGCCTGATTTTTGGAGACTATTAGACTCATACTCAGGAGATATCTGGGTTCAAACCCTACCTATGAATCTCTCTTGATGTGTAATCCTGGACAAATCACATTTACTCTCTGAGTCTCAGTTTCCTGGGACAGAAATACCTATAAAATGTGGCAGAGTTATTAGGAGGATCAAATGATTGTATGTAAATTCTTATAAATCTTAGAACACTCTGTAAATATTGGCTATTCTTATTCATTGCAAAATACTTAAGGGAGAGAAATCTTATTTGAACTTCCTTTTAATGCACTAGTTATTTGGGAGATGCTTAGGGCCACAATGTATCTACATTCAGATAACATTGACTCTACATTACTCTTTAGATGCAATTTAAAACTGTATCAAAAGTGATCTGTCAGAAGACATTTGACAACTCCTTTCCCTTTTGCATTTTCAAAACATTGTAGCACTTATTTACCTGATACCTTAATGGAAAACAAACAAAAAACCCTGTTCATCTCCTCCTAGCCAGGCACTACTTTTCCAAACAAGGCACTAAAGCTGTGAAACAATCTAGTCCTAACCCTGACCGTATTCCTAAGGAAAGACATGGGCTTAAGTATGTCAAATGGTTGTGCATTCTCCATCATTGTTGCCCTGAAATTCTCCAGTGTTGGAATGTGAAACTGATAAAGTGGCTGTCTGATGGCCTCTTGTCCTCTTTATAGATAAAACCCCCAACTCGTTCCATTTTTAGCTTTCACTGTATTTCTCACTCTTGACAGAAATGCTGGCAAGCAACTTATAAACAGAAATAACACAAAGCCAATTCTCTCAGTTCAAACTTTAATTTCTCCGTGGTCTGGAAAGAACTCCCAGCCCCTCCTTCCCACGTTCAATGATGATCCCACCAGACCTGGGAACTGACAGCTCAATTAAAATAGCCATGTGGAACACAGAACCTATTTCATTTAAATAATTTCTTATTTCCATATTTGAAAACTTGAAGGTATCTAATTTATGCAAAGCATTTCCTTTGTTAAGTGAAAAGGGCTTTGTCCATAAAACTCGAAAGATATAATAGATTTCATTTCACTTCGGCTTAGTTCTTTTTTCAGGCTTAGTAACAATTCTGTCACAGTATAGCTGCAATCTGAGAGAAATGCAGAGCATTTTATACTGATTCAAGGCCCATCCATACTCACTTCTCATAAGAATAACATCCATCCACACAGTGACTCTTCTACATTTTCAAACAATATGTATTATAGCCTTTTAAATGGTCAGCTATTCTTGATTGTTACCATGAAGGCTCCATATCTCTCTGTTTTCCTCTGGGCGCTTGAAAATTTTTTTTTCTCTTATAAACAGACAGAATTCATATGTTGAAATAAACACAATTATACTTGAAAAACTATAACCAGAAATATTGTCCTTTTCATCTCTACTGTGTCAATAAATGTCTCAGAGCCTCCTTAGCCCTCTTAAAATTTCAAAAATAAAATCTCCCAGAGGCATATAGTTGGCAAATTAAAAACAATATTTTCTGAAAGGTAGTACTGGTTATGTATTGTCTTTTGTTTACAGGGCTTTATAACCCAAATGTTTTATTTACTCACGGATGCACAGTTTTCAGACTTGTCTTCCACAAAGCCGATTTGGCACAGGGTCCTCTGATTCTGTAGCCAGTAGTCCGTTGATTCCAGTAGACTATTACTGCAAAGGACCTGTTAGGACAGAGAAGCCTTTCTTTAATGCTTTTTCTTCTAAGCTTTTCCTTTTAACAAGCATCAAGGACTGACAGGAGCTCTCTTCTCAATGACCCATAAGTGTTTTCCTTCTCCTAGAGCATCAGCAGGTTTCCTGGATATTAGCAAAAATCTGCAGCAGCGTATCATTACCAGCATGAGCAAAAGAATCAGCCATACTCTGTTTCATTTGGGGGCATGCAAATGGGGGTGTTCTTTCTCATAAACTCCAATACTTCTACTGATGATCTGTCATGGGGAGGGTGGAACCATGTGGAGGATGGCTTAACTGGCAACTCAGAGAACCCTTCATTCCTGATCTCCCCTTTCATGTTTTTCGACACAAAATAAGTGTCTTTGTCTAACATCATTTCTGAAAATTGTATTACAGTAAAAACCAATCAGCAGTCATTCAACAAGTATTTATTAAATGTCTCTGTGTCGGACACTGTGCAAAGTGCTGGCAATACAAAGATGACAGAAAAAACCCCCAAACCCCCCAAACCCAAACCCTTAAAGAGGCTACTTTTGATCAAGGAACACAAAATATAATACATACAAATACATACAAAAGAAATACATACAAACACATACAAAATAAATACATAACTACAATAGAATTTTAGGGAAAGTCACTAACAATTAGCAGGAGTCTTACTCTGGGGTCAGTGAACTTAAAAAATATTTTGAGAGCTGCATTTGTATAATTGATTTCCTATGTAGTATCATGCATTTTATTTTATGAATTTAAAATCGCTGTTCTGAGAAGGGGCTCGTAGCCTCCACCAGGCTCACTGCCAAAGGGGTCCATGACATAAGGAAGGCCAAGAATCTCTGTGGACACAGAATCAGAAAAGGCCTAATGGAGCAGGTGACACAAACAGAAATTTGAAGACAACTAGGTTTTCTAAGAGGGAAAAATGAGGAAGGAGAGCCTGCCACCTGAAGGGGACACATAGAGAAGAGATAGAGGGGCCTGTGGGAGAGGAAGAGCAAGAAGGTCAGAGTGAATCAAAGTCAAATACTATTTAATAAGACTGGAAAGGCATCTTGAAGTCAGGCTGGGAAAAGGCTTTAAGTGCCAAACAGATGCATTTGTATTTGACCCTAAAGGTAATAAAGAACAGTGAAGTTTATTGAGTACAAAGGCTCAGGGGAAATGTTTTTTAGGTATAGCTTTGCTGAAGTGCCCTAGATACTATATCAAATAAAGGCCAAATTTGTCAAAAAATGAACAAAAACAGAAAAATAATAATGGCTTTTTCCACGCAAAACCAGGTGTAAATTTTTTTTCAGGAGTATACCCCTTTTAGCCAATTCCTTTCCAATGCATCTATATAGGTGGTGCAGTAGATGGATTGCCAGGCCTGGAGTCAGGAAGACTCATCTTCCTGAGTTCAAATCTGACTTACAAGCTGTGTGACCCTGGACAAGTCATTTAATCCTGTTTGCCTCAATTTCCTTGTGTATAAAATGAGCTAGAGAAGGAATTGGCAAACTACTTCATTATCTTTGCCAAAAAAAAAAAACGCAAATGGGGTCACAAAGGGTCAGACATGACTGAAAAATGACTGAAAGAAGGAATCAGTAAACTTAAGATGATAACACTTTTCAAATTCTTTGTTATAGAGGTCTTGGTCACTGAATGTTATAGCTGGAAGGGACCCAAGAGATCATCTAGTCCAGTGCTGTCATATTATTTTAATAGGTGAAGAAACAGAGGAAAACAGATGATTTTATGCCTCGGCGAACAAATACGCTTTGATTATGCTGTCTTATAAGAACCTTTTAGGCAGCATGCTGTCTTGTCTATTAAATTATTAGACAAATGTTATATGAGGTTTGTATTGCTGCAACAATGGCTTATGTTTGACCTCAGTTTAAAAGCACAGCCAATTCAATCAGTTTCATTAAAGTACCTGAAAAAAATGACTCTGCAGCCAGAGAGATTTCTACTTTTTTTTTTTAAAGCAAAACAAATTTATTTTCGCATTAGTCCTATTAGTTGCATGCTTACACGGTGTGCTTTTGGTCTGGCTGAACACTGCTCTGGCCCCATTTAGAATGCACATTGTCTGATTTAGCTGAGTAATATTTTTATTTTTAAACCCTCTCCCACAGAGTACATGTTTGTCATTACTAGAGAGGACATATCTTTCTGATTTTTCATTGGCAGCACAGATACTTTTGTTTTCTACAAAAGCACAAGAAATGAGGTACTAAATAATTTCTTTTCCTCGACCTAGGCCTATGATTGTAGCACAATGGATAGAGGACTAGACTTGAAGTGTGGAAGACCTGGAATCCAGTCCCCACCTCTGATGCTTAGCTGTGTGGAACCTCTGTGAACCTGTTTCTTCAAATGCAAAATGGAGATCTTCATGCTTATAGTACCTACCTCACAGGTTGGTTGTGAGGGTCATCTCAGACAAGCACACAAGCTTTGCAAACTTTAAAGCATTATATGAATGTCAGTGATGATTATTAGTAATAATTGCACAGGGATCTCCTGGTGTGGAAATGTGCTCCACAGGTGCAGATTGGCAATTCATCTTTAATTTATAGTCTTTTCCAACCTGGGTTTAGCATGGGACATTCAAAACTCCAAATTGCAGAGGGAACCATATTAAAATTCAATTGGAAAATGTTTAATAGAATAAATAAAATACGATACATAGATTATGTTTGTATGTGGTTTTCTAAATAAAAATGTGGCCTATGGGGATCCATTTATATTAGAGTTTGATACCACTGGTCTTAAAGGGTTGTCTGGGGTGCTGAGGGGTTAACTAAATTTCACTTGGTGACACAGTTAAGTAAGTGTCAGAAACAGGACTTAGATAACAGGTCTTCCTGATTCCAAGTATAACCTTCTGTCCACTGGCCAGAAGGTCTCCCTTTTAAAGTCATTACAACAGAATAAGAGGTTCCCCTAAGGTATAGGCAGAGTGCAGCTGCACCATCAGGAGCAAGCGTCACCACTGGTCCCCTGCCTTTAGGGCCCAACTTTCTATGTATACTTATATGCAGAATGTTATTTGTCCTGAAATAGCTTGTCTTTTTAAATGAAGAAGGCTTTAAAGTTTTCCTCCTCTAATTTAATTATGCTTTAATTTGAACACAAAGGTAGTTAGAAGCAAAGATGAAAACAGACATAGATTTGGAGCTGAAAGGGACCTCAGAGGCCATTTATTCCAAACTCCTCATTTTACAAATAAGGAAGGGTATTGTTCCCTACCCCCAGGAAGGGCATCATCATTTGCCCAAAGACATGGAGATAGTGAGCATCCCAGGCAGGATTTAAAGTCAGGTCCAGAATCACCATTCTTTACACTGTAGTACCCTGTCCATTAATCTGTTAAGCAAAAATGATTGTTTCATTATAGAAGTGTTTTTACTTCCTGTCAACAAGATGGCTGTCTGTGCAAAATGGAAAATCCCTGTTGTTTTTAGATTGCATCAGTTCTATGAATGAAACTACTACCACTTTCAAACCAGCAATCACATCAGACATTGTACAAAACGTTGTTGCTGTTGTTCAGTCATTAATTACGTCAGCTCTCCATGACCCCATTTGGGGTTGTCTTGGCAAAGATACTATAGCGGTTTGCCATTTTCTTCTCCAGCTCATTATACAGATAAGGAAACTGAGGCAAACACGGTTAAGTGACTTGCCCAGGTTCATACAGTCATTAAGTGTCTGAGGCCAGATTTGAACTCAGGAAGATGTGTTTTCCTGACTCCAGTCCCACCACTATATCCACTGGGCCACCTAACTGGCCTTATATAAAATACTTGAATATATAAAATTTTGACTATGACAAACCTCCTTAATAATTTTGTAACATATTTCATAAAGAGAATTATGGAGAGGCACTGGGGTGTGGTTAAAAAGGGCTGGGTTGGGAATTGGGGGGGTACATCTCTTCATTTCCTTGGACCTTTTTGGCTGTATGTTCTTGGAAAGTCACTTATCCTCACCAAACCAGTTTCCTCATTAGAAAGATGAGAATAGTAATACTTTTATTAACTACCTTACAGGGTTATTGTGAAGAAGCATTTGGTAAACCTTAAAGTGCTATATTTTTAAAAATATATTTTTTTCAGTTATCAAGAACTTATTTTTTCCTCCCTCCACCCATCCACTGAAAAAAGAAATAAGGAAAGAGAAGCAAAGAAGTGTAGAGCCTGTATAGAGCATAGTCAAACAAAACAAATTCCCATGTTGATCATGTCCAAAAATGCATTTCTCATATTAGTCCAACAATGCTCCTTCATGAGGTAAGTAGGATTCTTCTTCATTGGCCCTCTGGAATCCTAGTTGATCATTTGTTTTCTTAAGTCTTTCACAATTCTTTTCATCCATATATCAAACTTATTCAGCCATTCCTCAATTGATGGGTACCATAGTTTTCAGTTCTTTGTCACTACAAGAACCGTTATGAATATTTTGCATACAAGGAGCTTTTCCTCTTTCTTAGCTCTCTTGGGGGTATAGACTTAGTAGTGATATCACAGGGCTAAGAAGGCATAATTCCAAAGTGCTTTTCACAATCATTGGGCCAATTCCAACAGTGAATCAATGTTCCCATTTTCCTGTAGCCATTTACAATTTTTCATTTCCTTTGTTTTATCAGTTTTGCCAAGCAGAATCTCAGAGTTATTTTAATTATCATTTCTATAATTATATGTGACAATAGATGGCTTGGATTTCTTCCCTTGAGAACAGCCTGTTCTACATATTTATACTATTTATCAATTAAAGATTGGCAATTATTTTTATAGACTTGAATCAGTTCCTTATATGTCTTAGAAATGAGACATCTATCAAAGAAACTTACTACAAAGGTGTCCTCCCTTGCCCCCAATTAACTATTTCCCTCATAATATTCTTTGTTCTCTTTTATTGCACCCATCAAGGATACCCTCAATACTTCATTTGAAGTCTACCTTGGTATGTGGTGATTCATGTATATTAG